ATATATATATTATATATATATATATATATATATATCATGATATATGTAGCAAATATAATATATATATATGTATATGTAGATGGCTGTATATAGCTCTATTTGTGTATATATACGTATATTTATAAATGAATTAATATATACTGTATATATACGAGATGCACACATAGATTTTTATGTGTGTGTGTGTTTGTCGATTGTTTTGCTATATCTTTTTAAAATGTCAAGTAATTTTATGTGTACCATTCTGTGTAATCCTAGGCCTTCTTCGAACATGTTTGAATGCGATCAGCCCTAGTCTTTGTACTTCATTGTTTTTACTATTAGCAATAAGTACTTGATGGGTTGCTTCGACTCAGCGAAGAAAATACACCTGCGATTGGTACGGAATGTTTTAAATAGAAATTTAATTCTGCACTCACAACAGGTGTCCGGCTTTTATGATTACTATGCTCGTTGGCTGGAACAATCCGGTGCGAGAATTGTGCCGATCCGTTACAACGCACCGCGCGAAGAATTAGACGAGCTATTCTCCAGGTAAGATTGTAGAGCTTGGTAAGCTTCTAGTATAACATAAATGTGCTGAGTACTCATACTTCCTGCGACTGAGAAAAACATAATTTCACGTATTAGCTTTACTTTCTTTTCAAATTTTATATTCGATTGCACCCTGTGTCGTTGAATGTCTAAGAAACTGCTACTTTGAAGCCTAAATTTAAAAATATATCATCTTCCCTTGCAGTATTAATGGGTTGTTGTATACCGGTGGCGACCTCTCTCTCAAGTTTGATACCCCATACTACAAAACGGCGCACTACTTGTACAACAAAGCTATCGCAGCGAACGATGAGGGCGATTTCTTTCCAATCTGGGGGGTAAGTGTTAGAACGTTTTTTTTCGTTTTTCTTGCACCCATTGAATCTGCCCTCGTTAATTAACTTGTGGTTGCTGCTCACAGCTATATACCGTTCTACTTCGAACTCATGCTCCGGTATACATTTTTACCTGTTTTCTATAGACTGCTATTTAAATCTCCCCCAAAATAAAATCTACTATCACAGACGTGCATGGGATTCCAGTTGATCTCCATAATGGCCGCAGTTGACTATTCGGTTCTTGACCACGGGGTGTACGACTCGGACGGTAAGTGCTCTTGTGAAGTTTGATCTCGAGATGTGTCGAAGGTAGTAGTTAGCCTGCCAATATCGGCACGTCAGAGTTGCCTGTATTATTTTTAATTCTAACGCATGTGTTTGTATCTCAAGCACTGACTTTGCTCCCGATGGTAATCTATGTTTTTGTCTTTGTTTTTTAATCACGTTTCAGGCATCATGCTTCCCCTTGTTCCTACTGAGTACGCGAGTAGCAGCCGAATGCTCGCGCGCGCTAGCAAAGAGTTGTTGCACGACATCTTCGAAAAACCAGTATGTAGGTGGAGAATATATCCGCAATCTATCAACCACGCTGCATCTCGATTTGCTGTTCCAGAATTACGAATTTGAGTTAGCGGATACGTCGCTTAATGCTTCGTGATGTGAAGAATTCTATGTATGCCATAGATATCGCTTAAAATAATTGACCTTGTAACTCCACAGGGTGTGTTACTTTAATGAAGCTTAGACCTACATATTCGCAATAGTACGGCAGCATATCTTTGATCCAACCCCCTTTTTGCTACCTTCCCGACAGACCACAGTCAATTTGCACCACGATGGAATCACGCCCGAGACCTGGGCTAGTAATGAGAAGCTATCATCATTCTTTGATGTTATTTCCACAAACGAGGATTCCAAAAATAGACCCTTCATATCTACTTTTGAAGCGAAGGACTACCCCATCTATGGTATGTGGTTCACGAAGTTATCGCTAGGTCATGTGCTTTCACCGATTGTCTGCCATCATTTTAGTGAGCTAGACTGGCAGCCATCCTAGTGCAAGATCATTGTCAATTCAAAGTTCATGAGGGCCATCTGCAAGCTGCTTTACTTCGCCGAGTAACAATTGTATCGCATACATTACCACACCGCAGGCGCTCAATGGCACGGCGAAAAAGTTGCTTTCGATTTCATGGACAAGACAGAATCGAATGGCACTTTCATAAACCACTCGTACGAAGCGGTGGCTGTCTCGCAATACTTCTCCAATTTCTTCGTCAGTGAGTGTAGAAAGGTAAGTTTCCGTCATAACGATTCCTTTGTTTTTGGCATGTGCAGGTACCTCAGTGCTAGTGATGCGCTTGACATTTCGCGTGATATATGCTTGTGACATGTTGAGATCAGATTGGGCATTCTGGCATTTACCCTTAATCATGTATTTAATCTTGTATTCGTGATTAGTCGATATTGAGCTTTCACCATAGTTTAAAGTACGCTCACTCTTTTGCTCATCTCAATTGCCCGGTGCTATTAGACTTTGTGTCACGTTTCCTCTACTGCTCTCCTGCGATGAAAAAAAATTCTGGTACGTTCTAGAATAAATCATTTATCAGGCACTAAAAAAGGGGGGAAATACTGCCCATGTTACGTCCTCACAGAGCCAGCATCGCTTCCAGAGCGCTACCGAAGAGTCGAATCATCTACTATACCACTTCACACCTAGAATTGAGGGGAATTCGGCTGTGCTGTACACATTCGAGTGATAACTTTCTGCAGCTAAGCATGCGCTCAAAAGAGGGGCAGCATTGTCGTTTCCCATTTGCCAAGCCGACTTATTCATTTGGGGATGGACAGCTCACTATGTCAACGTACAACTGATATTCATGATGTTCAGTATAGGACTTTTAATAAAGGATAGTGAATGAGGAGTTTTTTTTTTCCGTGTTTAAAATCAGTTGTCTTCAAGAGTCGTAAGGATTTTCGTCCCGATATACCAAATTAACTTGCGCTACTGTGTGTGTGTCCTTTCCGCCGAGAATACATGTCGAGCTCGCGAATAGGTACGGAAGGTGAGATTGAGCCTATAGTAAAATGAGTATCAATGATTTTTAACCGCTACTGTCAGGATTCATGTGGAACACTAATCTATAGGGGATAGTTAAGAGCATGGCTTTCAATGTTAAAACCTTACCCTCATGCCTTTCCATTGCTTTGAGTATTTAACAAAATAGATAAGTCTCAAAGTGCCTAGGCTCTCATCAATTTCACGATAATCTCAATATTAAAAAGCCCTAGTATTTGCAACGTTTTTATTAGGAATATGAGACATATCGATATTGTCTCTATCGGGTCTATATACAGAATCGATCATTGGGCAAGGGCCAGTACACCTATCTATATGACACTATATTTATACCGTTTTTAATGTTACAGTATAGGAATATAGGCGCTGAGTTCCACCACATATGGACCCACTCAGGATGACAAATGGTCATAGAGGCTGTGCCTCCTTCCCTGATATGAAAACTATATAATTGGGAAATGTTTGTGGGAGAATCTTGCCCAATATAAAGCTAGGAATAATACAACTAAACGTAGTAGCCCGCAACCCGCACAAAGGAGGTTGACAAATCATTACTTTTCTGTTTAAATAAGAATCAGGAGCAATACAACTAAACGAGGTACCCAACAAAGGGGAAATTGGCATGAAATCTGTAAGATCGAATATACACTTTGCATATTTGGGACGATAGATTTCTGAGATACTTGTTGACTTACAAGAGGACAATATGAAGATAGGTGAAACTCGATGCGAAGGATATTTGTTGTAATTTTGACAAGATTATGCGGAAATTTTAAAAAGCTCCTATAAAAAGCACCTCAACGTCATTGAAAACGTGGTTAGAAATTTTTTTTGTGTTTAGAGCGCCATTGCATATCTTGCAATGTTTTTTTGGCAGGTGTCACTGCAGTAAATGTGAGCAAACTTCCCATGTCGTCGCTCGTTTTATGTGATATATACGGGCAGCCTGTCCGGAAACCGTTCATTACGATGGCTTTTAAGGTCTGAAAGTAGTCCAATGGCGTAGGATACTGAACATTACAGAAGGCTATGCAATATGTCGAATGGTGTAAATAGTATTTGGCAGTCGTAAAAATGAAAGTAGAGTGATGTGTTCCAACTGTCACGCCCCATAAGTTTGACGCCCCACCCGAATCATAGAGGAAACGGAAAGCTTATATGGTCACAGTATGTTTTGGTCGCATAGAAGTAATAGGGATCGGCGTAGTTCGGCAGTCAATTTGGGTCCTGGATGCAAACTTCTTGGTTTCTTGATTTTTATAAAAGCGCACAACTACATATTCACTATTTATGTTAAAATACACCACTACATACTCACTGTTCACCAGAATATCCCGTGTTAAACACAACTTTATAGACTGATATTTGTTGCGGGCCGATGTGGTGAGTGGGTACATTCACCACTTCGTTGGCACTTGCGTGGAGCTATATGCTGGAGCATGGATCGATCAAGTTGACATCATTAACCGATAGATATGTAACTATGTATCGGGGATCAACTCGCTATCATCGACCGAATGCTATAAACCCCTGATTCCAGCACTATAAAGAATTAAGTTATTGGATCGTTAGAATGATCGATTTATCAGCGCTTCGATTGGGTATGTTTAGTGAGATATAGCAAGTCGATCACATGTACTTTAGTTACTTGTTCTGTATTTAAGTAACATCGGATGTGTTTTACTCTATCAACCCATTTTGAATTCTCATGACGTTCCGCGAGCTTCATACTGACAGTTGCTACTTCATACCATGGCTTGAAACAATGGCTATCATCGCTTGGAACGATAGTAAAATTCATTGATTTTGACATATGTACATTGTGTATAGATGGAACCGCTAGTTTCGTGCTTGTCGTGACCCCCGCTGGACTTAAGCACTTCTGATCCAGCATAATCTGAACAAGACAATGTAGTGGATACACATCAGCCGTTCCAATGTATCGTTTAATTTTTGTATTAATTACATATTTACCTGGAAGTTTGTGCACCGCAAATAGGCGAAGAGTGCGTAGAATATGCCAAAGGCTGTCAAAGGACATACTTTCACCCATAGCCTGGCTGCATTTATTTGGTTCTTCTCTGGCAAGGCAACTTTATATCGGCACTATCCTACTATTCCACTGCGTAATTTAATGTGATGTACCTCAAACATCTTATACTTAATACGACTCAGTGAGGCTGTGTAATTATTATGAATCAGTTAAATTCTCCACACACTTGTGATATCATTCTTTCAAACTTAGTAGGGATAATATTATTTATTTCAAAAATGGCAAGTATGTATGATACAATGTATGAACATATGGTATGGCTCTCATAGTCGCTGTAGTGGTTCAGGAAAGATTGATGGGAAGAAGTGGTCAGTAAATTCCCGTTTGAAGCTTGGGCCAAGTGAGTCGACAATGGAAGATATGTGCTGAGTCAATTCGGGCCGGTGTTGACAAAACACTGTTACTATCGAATATTCCATATATTTGCTTGCTGATCTACTAAATAGAGTACCCACCTCTGTGGTACGGATCGGGTCTGCGCCGTATAGTGCCGCGGAATGGGTTAGTGCAGAGTACGAAATACCGAGAAGGACCAGGTTATCCGTCATAATCCGGTCGAGAAGCGAGGATGGGGGTAAGCCAATGCCGCACCAGACCACGGATGAATTCGGTATGTGTTGGCTGGCCTGGATCGGAAGTATCATAGTCGGAACCAACAAGCGCGATGATTTGGTTTGAACCGGTATTTGGAATTAGTACTTCAACAGCGTGATTAACTTAGTAGGTTTCTTGTTCCTGCCTGATATATACTCGTCTCGGCGTACGTCGAAAAGTTTACATTTAGCAGTGGCTTCCGTGTCACCCGCCGAAGTCGCTGCAAATTTTAGGGCTTACATGCAGTTGTGCATGAGTTTGCACGGTTAAATAAACTCTTGTACATCGCAACCCAAAAACATCCCTGGGGGTCGTAGATTGGGTGCTTCGTAATTTGTGGGTGAGAGACTACAGGAGTAGACATATTTCTTTGTACGTAAAACACGTTTTAAGTCGTCAGTCCGAGAATAATTTGGGACTTTGTTCTCAAATTAATATATGTAATAGGTTGGTCAGCCCGAGAGCAAGTAAGGGTAATTTGTCAAATTATTATATTAATAGGACACGGGCCGCCGGCTAGCCGAGAGCTGAGGCCAAAGACTGAGAGTACGTAACAGATAAAGTGGTATATCTATTTCTAGAAATATATCAGAGTACTGTGTTCTGCATAAGGTTTCTCATACTGATCATATGAGATTCTACCCTGGCCAACCCACGTGGTTGAACACTAGTACAAACGCATCAGTATATAGCTGAGGGTGAAATCATAAATAAACTCATTTCGAACACATTTGCTTATAGTCCCCCATCCAACAAGCTAAAAGTGGTCAACAATTTTACTGGACTTAGACAAGCGGCAGTCAGCATTACGATTGACAGCCGTATTATACCAAATCGATCAAGTAGCTGCGCCTATCACTACAAGTATCGATACTTGGTATTCAAAATCCACTTCAGAAAAAAAAACATCGATACCAAATTAATTCTTATATCGCCTTGCTTATCACAATGCTTTTGCGCTACAACTCACCGGTTAGGGACTTCAGAGCCTGTACTTCAAATAAATGCACGGTCTTCTCGCATAAATCGAGTGTTTACACCATCAGGTATACTAATACACTCCCTCCTTAATACAATTGACCGAAATTGCCATGTGAATAAACGCAACAACAAGTATGCACCTACAAATCAGAGGTAATCTATAACGTGCATTTCTTCTCGTGGTGAAAGCTAGTATGTGATCTTGGTAGATGTCGGTTTACATTTTTTAAGTTATCTACACATGTAGTTAGGAATGCTATGAATGAACAAAATAACATACACTAAGGTGCAAGATCGCAAAAATATCGTATGCCTTCATACAACAAAATGAAATCAGCTACGTTAACGTATGGTATGACAACTTTAGTAGAGCTTCACGCTAGACTCGGGTTTTGATACAAACTATTACTGCTATGCCTCCATATGAAGACATTCGGAAAAGAAGAAGCTTCCTATAGAATCAAGAGCCGATTAGGTTGGTACTCGAACAAAGCGCGTAGCCGAGATGATTCATAAAGAAGCCCATAAGAAGATCGAACAGCTTCAGCAAGCGAAAGCTAAAACGAAGCACGGTTCTTTAAGGAAACGACAGCTGAAGGAATAGATGAATACTATGGTGTCACCTGATACAGGAGAAATGTTCTCTACTGTGCTTTTTTCGTAGTAAAGCACAAGAAGAATAGCTCTTAAAAGTACAGCTTCGTATACAACAGATGAACTGGAGAAATCACATCAACAGTAGGATTTAATCGAGTCTCAGGCATTGATGATGATGAGGATGATGGTAAAAGAAAAGGGAACTCACGTTCTTACCGAAGTAGTCACCATAGAAGTGATCCTGCACCTGTAAGTGAGAAGTCACTAGAAGAGCCTTTAGAGAATATAAAACTGCAGGACTAGGAGTATAGTTTTCTATAATGATGGGTACACTAACATCAAAACCCAAGCAATTTGCCTATAAACCTCTGCCAGGTTTTAATTGGCAAAAGAAGTCAACTGCACACCGCTGGAAGACATATGTACATGACTTCTACTTTGGGGCTTAAGACCTG